GCGTTCCTCTAAGTCTTCTTACCAATATGACCATGTTACGAAAACAACGTCGAACAACCTCTATACAACGAAAGGAGATTTCGACCACACAAAAGGTCTTCATACCTTCGATTAAGAATGAAATTCGTCATTTTTACTTTCCTTTATACACCTCCTCCTAAGCCGGTCTCTTTTTGCTTAATAAGACCGTCCCTAAAGGGTAAATCACCATCCTTTAAGGCAGTTCACGGCTGAAATATAGTTTCTATAGGTCCCACAAAAGTTTACGGCATTTCAATGCCATGATAGCTCACCGGTTTTTGGCAGAAATGTGGGCTCGCTAGCGGCCCGGTAGGGATGAATTCAAATGAATGTGAAAGTTTAACCAGCATTTAGTGCGAAAAAACGAAGCTAATTTTTCAGTTGTCTAGTCCAATTGTTTGAGGTTATTTTTTGTTGAACTTGCCTTACTCCCCGAATTTTATATTTCCTATCCCCCGGCCTGCCAACTGGCCGTGGCGGTGGTTCGCCTCTGGCATGTGAAACCTCGGGCTGGCTGGGCTCGACACTCTTTGTGTAGGCCTGGTCTGTCTCCCGTTGATGCCAGAACTCCTCACAGGTCGGGTCTTGGGCCATGCTGGGACTCGTTGCCGTGACCACCGGCTCGAGCTGGGTGTAGGGCACGAGTGGAGGCGTAGACTGGTAAGGGTAGCCAATGCTTGCGGCTGGGATTGGAGGATGGACATTTGGTCGGGGGGGCAATTTGACTGTTTCTCTGAAATGTCTGTTACGGCTCACAGGCTCCCAGACATTGGGTGGAATCGTGGGATAGGGTGGGAGACCATTTGGTTCGGCCGAGGGGACCTGTTCAACGGGCGGCGCAGGAGGAGCGGGTCTGTTCGGCAGGATCATCTAGGGACCGAAAACACAAACGACACTATTTAGGCTCTATGCAAGAAGCATGACCAGGCGAGGCTAAACGTAGAAAAGACGACTGCCAATTTGAGGCTTTCAATCTGCAACAAAAGTAAGATCTCATATTCCTCGCAAGCTGGTATTCTATTCATGAGAGGACACCCTCCAAGCAAAGATGAATCAGTAAACACATTGCAGAAGACAGTCTCCTACCTTAAGCACCCTAACGCTAAGTGTTTTTAAGGCTAAAACCTTCCTATCATTTAGCAGCCAAGCTTGTCATGTAATAGGGCATAAGAAAAGTAAATTTTAGTTCAACGTTAGCGCCTCCATACCGAAGGAATGCACGAATTTTATGGCAAAAATACAGTTTTTTCCAAGGTCCTGATCGGACATGAACACATAAGATTTTTATACGAGCACATTCTAAAAATAATTTGGAAATTTTCGATATTTACTTAGTAATAAATACACCTCGTATACTTTCGTATGTATGGAGATTGTGCAAAGCTTAGCTACCAAGTATATTATTTTTTTATGGGCTAGTTAACATTAAGGATAAAAGGAAAGAGATATAAAAATAATGTAAATACGGTTGATGTCGTTAAGTGCTACAGCATTCGCTTTGATCAAGAATGACTTTAGGATACTTTATTGTTTCGCGATCGGGGCAACAGCTAACTTAATCATTGAATTCGAATTTAAGCTAGACTTGCATCAGAATGAATACTTATGATTTTACTTCAAGAAATTGGAAAAAAATTAATTGAAATGTTCGAGACTCGTTTTTAGCTTATTGTCGGGCCCGGATCAAGCAAAGTCAAATCAGACAAACACTAAATTGGTCTCACCGGAACCCGAAGGAGGATTGATTAAAGTGGAGTAGAGACAGGTTGGATTGTGCGAGAAAGTCCTCGGATCACCGTCTTTTCAACTTCGATGAATCCGTTGCAAGCTTTCATCCGACCTGTGATACAGATCATCAGAGCGAAAAACAATACTTAATGAAAAAATCGCTTAATATATTTGGTACTTTTTTACATAAAGTATGGTTTCTCGCTCAGATGATGTCTATCAGATAATAAATAAAAACCTAGTAAGGGTTCATCGGAATCGCAGGACGGTGAGCCGAGGACGTTAACTATTATCAATAAAATTTAGCGCTCAAAGAAAAAAGAAAAAAGATTTTGTAGAGGTATATCATGCATTTTTCCAGCTATCAAAAAAACATTATTTTCATTATACAGTAAGTCAACTAAATCAATTAAATCGGTTAATTTCTTGGTATACAATTAATTTAACTAGAGATATCTTTCAAACTATCTCAGAAAATCGTACTCTATCTAATGTGGTGTCATAATTTATTTATAATTATTCAAAGATTAGTCTACTCTAGAGTGAGGCCTGTATATAACCTTGTCTATGATGACGGTAAATATACGAAGAAAATGCGGGTTTCGAATAATCTCCTGAAATAAGCTTGGAGTGAAGACTTTCATTTCGTATGGAAATACATGATAAAGAGATTCGTAGATCAATCTCATCAAAAAGACTACATCAACATGAACATCGTATGAAGGCCAAACGGCTGCAGTACAACGCGAATCAGCCGATGTCTTCTCATGAGATTGACCTATGAATCTTTTCATCATGTACTTCCATATGAAATGAAAATCTCCCCATCAATATGATGATGATAGTCTAAGTAAGGTCTTGAGAAGTATTTACTAATAGGCCGGAAAAGAGTATTTGGTGATACCTCACGAACACGCAAGAATGGCTTATCTGTAATGAAGGAAACGTCATTAGAAGGTGTTTTGCTGTAGCTAAATGAAGTGTGAGTACAAGCCCAGCTCGGCTGGGCGTCTGCTCCGTAATCGATGCAAAAAGAGTCGTTGCACCCCATCACTTTTCCTTCCTTCCGATTAACCTCGAGCATCTAAGTCTCAATCGCCCAACGAAAACTAGCTTTCTGCAGCTGTTACGGGTCAAGCTGATCATTTGCAATTGTTGGAGGATCGTCGATAAACTTCAGCTGGTGTTTCAAGCCGGTTCCCATTTCAGTGGCTGACCTTCTTGAGAAGGAATTTCATTGAAAACTCGAGCTTGTTTCTACTGAATT